GTTTTATAAAACGTTCTCTAACATAGAGGAGCCTACTCGTCCGGCGTCCAAGCCTGCAAGGGAGGAGAGGACCTTCCAGATGGAGGGCGCACACAGGCCAGCCCCACGGCATCACCAGCGTAAGTGGAGTGTGGCACTAGACCCAAAGCCAGCAGGAGTCAGAGAGTCGGGCGGCATGCATGAGGAACAATCTCAGCTCGAAAATGCTCGAAACTCTTAAGATCTCAAAATAATCAAGGATGAAGTTAAGAAACAGAAAAATTTCAAGTATTTAATTGAAGACAAAAGAAGGAGTTTTGGCAAGAACCGTATTTACTGTCCATTGCAACACCACAGCATCAGAGACTATGTTGTTTCAAATAGCGCTTGCTCCAGCTGTTAGCACTGAAACCGTCATGACAGTGGGGTACAAAGGATGTGAAAACGGCAGTCTGGGGGTACCCTCCCGGGGCCCGCAGCCCGCCCAGCTCTCCACTGCCATGCTGCCCTGATGGTGGAGACGGGCTGGGAGTGTCTCAGTATGGTGGCTGCTCCTTCCTCAGTTAAATACCTTCCCAATCAGGGAAACTGGACTGGAAGGATGGCGATTCCCACCCCAGAAATGACTTACTTGTCCTTTTCGTAAAGTCCCCTGGGAGCTCTACCCAGCTTACTTCTCTTTTGTATCTTAAGTTGCTGGGGGTGTGGTAATTACACTTATTTTCACATCCTTTTAGAAAAACATAGTTGCAAAAATGTCTGAATGTAAACTGGATGCAAAGTCAGACATTCACAAATAAAAAGGTTCAGAGCAGACTTTGGTATTGTTCGGACCAGAAAGTCTCCTAAAAAGCATCACAAGAGTAAGGAGAGTGCAGAGGGACAACGCTGCTAGAATCTAGTAAATGCATGTGAAATTCTACCATAGAGTTTGTTTTCAATCCATGTGGAAGGGAGGGCTCGAGGGAGGGGAGCATTGTTACAGTCCACCAGGGGCGTCTCCTCTTCCGAGAGGCCATCGTCATAAAGCAGCGAGTCAGACGGGGTGGACGCAGCAAGGTCTAAGTAGTCCTGTAAGGGAAAGGCGGCTGGTCACTTCTGGCTGTAGGCCGTGACTGGACACACCCCGGCCCCACAGCACATAGGGCCACTGGCTAGGCAGAGGCCCTGGCTGCATTCCTCCCCCACAAAGGCCTCCTGGACTTTCTGTGAAACCAGAGCCCCTACTGGGAGGCAGGTACCAGGCTATGGAGGTTCCTGCCTTGCTGGTACTGACCCAAGGCCCTCACTGCTCTCCTCTGGGAGTTATCTATCCTGGTTTCCCCCTTGGAAAGCCACCTCCCTGGAGGCAGCACGTGCTCCCTCAGTGTCTTGCCCTAGGAGCTGGGCAGCTCTGGGCAACATCACATTCTATGCCGCCTCCCTTGGAGAGGAGCCCCACAGAACCGCCTGTTGACAAACTCGCAGGCTCTGGAAGAGCCACCCGCAGCCAGATTACTCATGCAGAGCCAGCGCTGCCAGGAAGCAGCCCCAACGTGCTGGATGCTTTTCAGCTCCCCCCGGGGTATCTGCGGTCTAGAGCATCACATCAGGTTCAGAATCTGAACGACGTCTCTGATGTTGGCTGCGCGGGACGCAGCTGCTGGAGGGGTCAGCTCCCACACGCTCCGGGTCCCACGTGCCTGCAGCTCCACTGCCTGGCTGAGTGTGCAAAGGGCTCCAAGGTCTCCTGGCTGTCTCCCAGCACTGCTCTAGGTAGGCCAGCTCTGGGCATCAGCAATTGCTTCTGCTTAGGACAACCAAGCCTGCATTCGCAGGAGTACGAGGGTCTGCCAAGCAAGACCATGGCAGGAGGCTTTATTACAGGGGCCCGAAACAACTCTCAGGAGACATGTCGATGTTGAGATCTCCACGTGAGCACCAGGAGGGCAGGGCCACGTGGTCTTAGTTACTTGAGTTCCCAGCAGCCAAGACAGAATGGGGTAACAGTTGCTCAGTAAATATTAGCTCCAAATTTGTTACTTTCTCATCCTAGAGTTGTAAACTAGAGTCACGTGGCTCACTCTGCCCGCCCCATGTTTGTCTGGCCCACACTGGTCATTTGGAAACTTCAGTGAGTTGTTAATAATAAAAGCTGGGAGACTAAACATAACCCTGTTAACTCTCAGCAGACCTGGCACACCAGGCCTCATATTCCTGTTGGGCCACGTGTGGTAGAGTGAGGGCCTTGCTTGCCACAGTCCCCACCACTCCCTTGTCACTGTCCACCCCAGAAGGGCCCCTTGGAGCATCTAAATTTAGGATGCCTGTTTCAACTCTACTGTCTTCATGTTCCATCCTGGAAATGTTTTCCTTCAGCTCTGGAATATTTTTCTCTTCCATGCTCTCTTGTGTCAGGATAGGAATCTGTGTTTCTTCATGGTTTGAAAAGGGATGAACTGCTGTCTGCCCTCAGGGACAGCACCATCTCCCTCTGCACGGCCCCAGTCTACCCCCACACTGGGAACTCTGAGGGCCTCACAGCTGCCCTGGAGTGAGGGGGGATGGCACCGACTCCATGTTCAGCCTTCGGGAGTCAGTCTGGGTACTCACTCTGCTCTTAACCATCATCTTCTCCAAGTCTTTGCTGATGTCAGCAAATACTGGCCTCTTGTCCGGCTCCTGCTTCCAGCACTGCCGCATCAGGCCATACCTGGAGGGGAAGAGCAGACGGTGCTTACAAGCTCACAAGGCCAGCCCAGCGCAGCACCGTGGTGCCCTGCCCCCACACCTCAAAGCTGCTTTTGCATTCTGACCTAGTTTCCCTGGAAATCAGGATCTCTGGCCCCATCATCCTACAAGTGCCTCCGGAGGCCCACCAGCTCTCGGTGGGGTCAAGGGCCCAGCGTCTGCACTGTGCCCAGGGCCGGTTCCCTGATGTGTGCTCAGTCACTTGCCATGGCCCAGGTGGCCCAGGGCTGCAGCCTAGGGCTACCCAGGAGCAAGGCAGGAATAGGAGCAGGTGTCCCCTCCCCGAGGGCCTGGCGGGCAGGGTGGGAGGGAGGCTGGGCCAAGGCGAAGCCAGCTCACATCTCCTCACTGCAGTTGTCTGGCCTCTCCATCCGGTAGCCGGTCTTCAGAAGGTTGAAAAGTCGCTCTGGAGGAATCCCAGGGTAGGGGTTGCCCCCCAAAGTCACGATCTCCCACAGCAGGACACCAAAGGACCACCTGTGGTGAGCAAGTGGACCAGTGAGCTGCTTTGCGTGGACTTCACGGAGCCCAGACAGCCACGGCCCCACAGCTGCAACCCCGTGGGCCCCAGCGCAGAGCGGCTGATGTCCAGACCACAGCCTGTGGCTGTGCAGGGGCTGCCT